TGCAAATTGGCCACAAAATGACCCGGAAATTCGGTGAACCTTGATGGGGCTAAAAGCCAAGGCCCGCCAATTGGCCATCTGCAATTGCGGAGTGGCTCCGTGAGTGAGGAATCCCATGACGAATGCGATGGCGATGTGCAAATGTTGCGTGCGGTATGCGGAAATCGCCGCCTGGAGCCCAAATCGCATAATTGCACCTGTCGCCTCCTACAAGAGGCAGCTGCAAAAGTTTCAGCTAACCAGCAACTTGCAACTTGCAACTGCTGCAACTGTTGCAACTGTTGCAACTGCCGCAACTGGCAACAACCACTGGCGCTACATATGATTCCATATTTGGAGGCTACAGCTTTTTTATTCTCCTACCGCTGGGACACAAACCTAATGGCAGCGCCTGATTATGAGGCGGGTTATTTATGCGCCCAGCTCTCTGATTTCTAGCTGCGATCCAGCAGCATCAATAATAACAAGCAGACATCGAAATCGCCGATCGCTCCTCGGTGGTCCCCACTCCTCCACCTCCTCAGGCTTCCCCCCTTCCCCATTTTCCGACCCCCTTTTCCCTGATCTCAAGCCCGCGGCGCGTCACTGGATGAACACAGCCCATCTGCAGCCCATTCTGTGGCTATTCTAGAGCACTGCAACAAAAAAGTAGGGATTAACTTTGAATTTGAATGTATTGCCTTTGAAATAATCGTGAGTATTGCATATGTCATTTCGCAAATTCTTTGAAGTTCATTTACTTGTGTATATATTTGTATTACTATTATTATTGTTATACACTTTTAGAAATTATTAAAATATATCTTTAGTTTGGGAAGAAAGAAAAAATAATAGTCTTTCTTTATAATTTATATAACATTTATTTAAAAATATCAACATATTAACATTTGAATTAATTTTTCTTTAAAAGGTGGAAACATTGTATTCAAAGTTGGCAGAACTTTTCGAAAATGTATTAATTAATAATGTCTAAAGTATTTATTCTTCTTAATAAAAACAATTAAAATAAGGTCTTGCTTAACTCCGAAACTGTTCTTACTATTAGTGGAAAAGAAAGTGATTAGAATTTTTTCGAGTGTATCCCCCCACTCAAAAGACCCCTCCCCACGCCGATCGCAACCAGTTGTAACAAGCTGTGGAAGCTGCGGAGTGCGCGTGGCCGTCGTGGCGTTTTATGACTTTGTTTGGCCGGCCTCGACTTGCCCCAAACCACCTCCCCCCCCCACAGTCCCACGAATCTTGACCATCTACCCATCATCTTGGCCCGGCTTAGAAAACGGAGAACAGAAAACAGGTGCACTTCACATCAAAGCGACGCAGGCCAGCATCCAGCAAACTGAGCCCCGGCCGAAACACTCGAAACACTTAATCAATGGCAGCCGACGCCGACGCCAATGGCTACAGTGGTTTTAAAGTCAAAGAAAAATGCACTGAAATAGTATCGTTCTGAATAAAAATGAAATGAGGAAATCCTAGAAAATAAAACTCACTTTAAAAATCAATTACAAAGTGCCTAAATTTATAGAAGAATTACCAATCGATCTATCTATTTTGTTAGCTGAAAATAGATAACATAAAATTTTTAGAATTTGTGAGGTTTTAAATATCTATTAATATAATATTTAGAGAGCACTGTGAGCACAATATTTATATCTGAGAATTTATAATAGATGCTCTAATACGAATACCTAAATTTAAGGACATACCTCAGTCTGATTGTTTCAGTTTTTTGGGTTATGTTGTTCTCTTTATAGATGTTAGGTAAGTGTGATCTTTAAATTAGTTGTCGAAGCAAATTGATAGAGATTTTCCCATATTTTTGCCCACTGTGCACATCTTGTTCATCGTCTTGGCCGCCTTGGCATGCACGTCTAATTACCGGGAAGTCAAATGTAGTCAACATATTGCGCTTTGATTTGCGCTGCCAGCAGCAACAGCAAGCGCACACCAGCAACTATCAACTAGCAACTAGCAACATCGAGAGCAACTGGCAACTAGCAACAGGTCCCTAGTCCCCGTCCTCGGATATACATCCTCAGGTTGGATCGGGCTGGGATTGGGAGGGTCCGCCTCGATGGTCATAGTTATGGTTTACTCGTCGGCAGCCGATGGGAAAATGTGCGTTTGGGCCCGGTCTTTTGCTCTTTGCCCAAGTGGTAGCCAATGGCCAATGTGTGGAAACGCGGGCACTTCCAACTGCTGCGCGGTACCTGCTCCTAGACCCGGTTCAGGTACTACACAGCCAGAAAAATCGTACGCTAATCGGGATTATTGAAAAACAAACCCATTATGTCACTGCACTTTAACATATTATCTTGTGAACAGTGAAAACAGTTTTAGATATTGTTGTATAAATTGTAAGAGGCTTGATTAAAAAAAGCAAACTAGTTCACAAATATTTAACAATATTTATTAATTTATTATCAAGTATAATTCAAGAATCAACCAATTTGTAACCTATAACTTATACTTGCAAATTTCTCAACATTTTTAAAGACAAAGTAGCACACAGCTTTATAATAATTAGTATACAAAATCTTTTAGTTCAGTTTAATAAGGTAATCAAAATATATGAATATTATAAAAAAAGATAGATAATGAACAGCATCAAAATCAAAATGTTCATTGTTGGAAGAACTTTTCTCAAGAATTTCCAGCCCTTTTCTAAGTAGTTTATGTTGTGTAAAAAATATTTTCTAATAAAAGAGCAACGAATGACAGTCCCAAATACAACTTTTTCTGCCAGTGTGGGCCTAGACTGAACCGGGACCAGAGCCGGGGCTATAAATCAGGCTCATTTTAATGACGCAAGCGAAATGCGAGGTTTTGAAACGTGTTTCGCTTGCCCAGTTGGCTGCCGTTTTGCAATTTGATTCTGCAGTACTCTATATAGTATATCCCTGCCACTGCCCCCGATTTCTCGGGGCGCACCTAGCCGGCAATTAGGTGTATCAATCATGGAGGCATTAAAACAATTGAAAAATTGTCTTTGGGAAATTGAATAGCAATTAGAATATATGCAAAGCCCAAGTTCCAATTAACTGTTGAAACGTTTTCGTTCCTTTTTCTGCCCTGATGCCATTTATTATCGATCATCGTTTCTTTGGTAATCAATAGTTTCGGTTTGGCTCTGAATGAAAAGGGCATTCTTCATAATTATGCAGTTTTCTTTGGGCGAAGATATATTCGTTATTTACGATTTCAGTAATAGCAATGTTTTTAATTGCTTGCAGAATGGTGAACCAAAATGCAAATTTATTTAGAGCTCATAAAGTTTGCGGTGCGTTTCTTCTCTTGACCCTTAACTGGTCTATTAAATGGTAATTCCAATTGTGAGCTAGGCCTTAAGATTTTTATAAACTTCTTTTGTTACAGGCTTTTTAAGCTATAAATGGACTTCAAATAGTAAGCGAAAGCTTCAAGGCTTAATTAAGTCATATTTTTATTCTGGCGGCTGGTGTTGATCCCAAATGTCATAAAAATGTTCATAAACGAGTTCTAATCTCTGGTTAACCAAGACCGTTTTTTGAGGTCAGCAAAGACAGCAGTGATCATTGTTTCGCCTCGACGTTTTAGTCGTAATCATAAAGGCAAAACACTTCGATGGAGGAACTCGAAACGATCCAAACGCGATCTAAATATCCGTGAGAGTTCGTTGACTGATCGAGTGTGATTTTCCCAAGGCAATTCCTAAACAAATGGCGAACAAATGTAGTAGATTTGGCTACCAAATACCGCAAGTTTGCAAAGGAATTATGAACACAATCCGCTATCTGTGGACGAAATCTCAATAAAGGCCGGCCGATTGAGAGATATGAAAGGCCAGCGATTGAGATGACGGCATTCGGCCATATATTATGATAACTAATTGATTTAAAGACACATTTCAGCGGTTCGAAATAAGATTACATTAGGCTTATAAGGTGTTTACTATGCCCCAAGTTCGTCGATGAAATGCAAATTTTTGAGCTAGACAAACGGGGCAATATTTTACGATTCAGAACTCGAAACGTCTTTTATTTCGTTAATTTTTATGCTTCTGCCGCGTTGTAAAACGTAAAACGAAATGCAATAAAACCAAATCAAATTTAAATAGAAATGACCAAAAACAAACGATGAACAAAATCAAATCAAATTCAAAATATCACAACACTGTCGCAGTCGTTTGTTTTGTATTATTTCTATTTGATTTCCTTTCTTCTCGTTCTTTTCGTTCTTTGTTGATTTTTATACCCTTGCAGAGGGTATTATAATTTTGGTCAAAAGTGTGCAACGCAGTGAAGGAGACATCTCCGACCATATAAAGTATATATATTCTTGATCAGGATCACCTCCTGAGTTGATATAGCCATGTCCGTCTGTCCGTCTGTCTGTTTCTACGCGAGCTAGTCTCTCAGTTTTAAAGATATCGAATTGAAACTTTGCACACACCCTTCTTTCCTTTGCACGCAGTATATAAGTCGGAACGGCCGGGATCGGCCGACTATATCCTATAGCTGCCATATAACTGAACGATCGGAAATGCCATAACTTTGGTGTTTTTAAAGTTAGGAAGTTGGGATTTTCTATGGGTTTTACATTTGGCCAATCAATCAACAATCAACACCAGAGCAGAAAAGCAATCGGTGCCTTGACTTTGCCCCTTGGGTAGCAACCACCTCCAATGTGCGGACCCAAGAATAATAGTGTCTTATGGCTGGAAATCCAGATCATTTCCCCAAACTCCCTTACATACCCATCAAAATGACTTCACAAAAACTTAAAAATTAATAACAAAAGCGGACGCCATTTGAATGAAAAATATAGAGCACACATCCACTTATACGTATTTATGTTCCTAAAATACGTAGATCAGTTGTGCAATAATGTCAATCAGTTCCATTTATCAAATCTCCCATTTCATCAAATGCAAACGAATTAATACCAGACAGCACTACGAGTACAGTATTTTCTTATTTTGTTTTAATATTCAAAAATATTTCTTATTTAAACAGTGCGACTCATAAGGGCTTGGGCCTTATCATCATTTCAACAAACGTTAGTGATAACTCTTCGTAGATATGCCATGAGCTCCAATGAATTCCCATTTCGCCTACGCCATATTTGGAGTATTGTCCATTCAGCGTACTGTAATTTAAAGTGATTATAGTAGGAAGATTTAAGCAGAGCATAAATAAGCAGGTATACCTGTATGAACAGGCATTGTGCCACCATGCACCATTTGAAAAGGCACAATTAATATAAATGGCATTGTCATTATCCCGATCAATTGTGGAGAACTTTTGGTGCTCATTTTCTGTGAGTGAGTCTCCGGCTTCACCAGAATATTTCCCTAGATTCTTCAACTCGTACAATTCCTCCTCACTCCCAATCTTAAAGTCATCGTAATGAGCGTAGCTGGTGGATCCATTAACCATCCCAAGTTTAATGTAGAGTTCGTGGGGTCGTGCCTCAGTCATCCGATGCAATTTTTCCAGCCCGATGAAGAATTCTCCACTGATATTCCCAAATCCAGATTTATAATCATGCCAGTTTCTCTCGAAGTTCTCGGATCCGTCAATGCGTCTCTGAATTACAGTCCAACCACTTGGAGACGACGCACATGGCACTTCAAAGGGTTCAAGACCCGGAAGCTTTATTTGGTAAATCCCATTGGGACTGTCACTGGGACAAGAGTCAGGTAAAATGTCATAAGTTTTCTGCAATTCAGAAAGCTGACTAGATAGTTCTGATTTTATGTTATCAATCGAATTAATTTGAGTCCTAAGGTCAGAGATTTGTTCATCTCTATTTTTAAGGTGTTCATGCTGGCTTTTGATTTGCCCCTCTTTCACTTTAAAAATATCTTCTTTTATTTTGACTTGACCCTCGGATATTTTTAACTTGTCATCTATATTCCGCAATTCAAAACGCTGACTAGAAAGTTCTGATTTTATTTTCTCAATGGCTTCAATTTGAGTTGTAAGGATCGAGATTTGTTCATCTCTAACTTTAAGATCCTCCTCTTTCACCTTTAAAATATCTTCTTTGCTTTTGGTTTGACCTTCGGATATTTCTAACTGACTCTGCAAGTCTTTTATGGTGTCTTTCAAGGTATTTACTTGGCTTTTGAGTTCATCGTTGGCATCGGATGTTATTGTCAGCTGTAAAAAATGATTTAGAACAGGCGATAAAATAATAATCATTGCATTCGTTTCCAATATATTAATTAGTTGGTTACTGCGATAAATCTTAATTGAGTTTACACCAAAAAGTGGTTGTTCTTCCAAAAGAAAATAAATATATAAAATGGCAGCGTCGTTTTGAAACTAAATACAGAATAGAGTTCTACACAACGCAATAGCATGATTGTTTCAGCGTAGTATTATTTAATGTGCTAAAAAAACTATTGTTTACTACTGTGCTTTCCTTACATGCAATTTACATATAACAAGAGATAAGGACTTCCGATAGGAACGCGAAAGGATGTCTGTCTATACATATGTAACTCACCGTCCTAAGTTCCTCCATTCTGTCCAATCTCGCATTCTGCAGAGCCTGAATGGAATTCACGAAGTCTTCTTTTGTGATAGTCATGGTCATCTTAAAGGAATCGTTAAGGGCTCTCTGCCCTGCCTCGATTTCATCCAACCTTTTTTGGATATTATCAGATATAGGGTTTAGTGTGGCCAGGCAAAAGGAGCCGCATTGTGTGGGTGCATCTTGGAGAACGCACAACGACTGATCCTTTGAATTGGACGCAATTCCTCCTTGAACACTTGGAAAAATTAATAAGCCAAGCAAATAGGACAATAGTCTCAGCATCTTAAGATGTTCCATCTACTCAAATCGAATTCAAAAAGTGTACTGAAATGTAGCTATAAGTTGAAGAAACAACGAAGCCAAAAATATTGTTAATACGCCCCGTGAACGTTCATATTCCATATGTATGGCACGTGGCTCTTCTAATCTCTAATCCGTTGGCCAAAATTATATATAATATGTATAGACTACAATATAAATAGAAATGAGCTTATATTCTTATCGATTATATGCGCTTTATTTTTATACCCTTGCAGAGAGTATTATAATTTCAGTCAAAAACTTGCAACGTAATGAAGGAGACATTTCCGACCCTATAAAGTATATATATTCTCGATCAGGATCACCAGGAGAGTCGATCTAGCCATGACCGTATGTCCGTCCGTCCGTTTCTACGCAAACTAGTCCCTCAGTTTTAAAACTATCTGTTTGAAACATTCCCAAAAGTTGTCTTTCTGTTGCAGGTAGTATATATGTAAGTCGGAACGAGCCAGATCGGGCGGCTATGTCATATAGCTGCCATATAACTGAACGATCGCAAATGCCATAACTTTGATGTTTTTAAAGTTAGGAAGTTGGGATTTTCTATGGGTTTTATTTTTGGCGAACCAATATAATTTACAGAATATTCTGCAAGGGTATATCAACTTCAGCTTTTGTAATCATTTGGAAACCAAAAAACTGTTTTAAATGTTTTTTATTGAAACTTTGCCAAAACAAAACACACAGCCAAAAGAATTAATGTTTTGGGCAGCTGAGAACCTATACGATCATTTCCCAAATGCCCAAAATAAAATTTTTTTAGCTGAGAATCCCAATGGATTGGAAACGTTGTAACGAATTCAACGAGGTATGACATTCCAAGATCAAGATAATTATTTCTTCGTGATTGGATCAAAAAACTGAAAATCGAGTCGCATTTTTCAAGATTTCGAAATCGAAATGTAATAACTGCAAGGGTATATAAACTTCGGCTTGCCGAAGTTTGCTTCCTTTCTTGTTTATTGGTATTTTGGTTCGATATCGTTGGTGTTTTTTAAATTTTTTGTTGCGTATTCATCGTTTTTTTCTTGGTTTATTTTCAGTTGCGTTTCTGGGCCGCTATCGCTACTCAAAAAATTAGCTTTTCTTGAGATATATCTAAAATAGGAGTGTCCCAAAGAAAATATGTATTATTAATTTCAAAATTAGTTTAACATTCTCTGGACGAAAAAGAAATTATTATTTACAGTTTAAAAAAATATTTAATCATAAAAAATCAACAACATTTTTATAAAACAACCTTTTTATAAATGAAAAACATATTTTTGTATAAAAGTTTTGCTGTAGCCAAATTGCTCTTATTTTAAATGAATATTTAAATAGGATTTAAAAATTCCAGTGTGAAATAATACCTTTTTTCGAGCACATTTTTCCTTGAGAGTATTTCCACTTCGTTGCTCCGCTACTTTGTCGACATTTCCCCCCAGTTTTTCCATTTTCCTAGCTGCAGCCTGGTGTTTCGTTTAATTTGCATGCAAATAGAGCGGCGACGGGTTCGGATGGGCACAGATATATACAGTTGCGGTCAAAATAATAGTAGTGCCGGTTAAGCAACAAGTTTTTTCTCAATATTTTCTCCATTTCTTCAAAAATCCAATTCATTTTTTTTACATTAGTAACTGTAATTAACTGCTCTATAATAATTCGTAGTTATTTTCGATTCTCGCCTTTATTTTTATTCTTTTCGCCTTCATTTGCAAAGATTCACGTGTTAGACTCAGTCATAATAATAGTAGTGCCAGAGAAATTAGCAAGACTAATATAGTTTACTTAATTTGAAAAGAGTTTTGTGGTGGTTAATAATAGTTTTGGGTGTTATTTAACAGTCCCAAGTATTTTGAGATTTTTCTTTAACATTCAGTCCTGACTACATGGGGCGTGGCAAACTCTATGCTGCCGAGAGGCGAGATCTGATTTAAAACTTGATTTCTGCTGAGAAAACTTATGTCGAAGTGCAAAATATTATTGGCTGGTCTTCTACAATGGTTAGAAATGCTAAAAAATATGAGCCAGCAAATGAAACGCCTGGTCGACTCAAGATATTGGACAAAAGGTCAGTGGATCGCTCGAAAGACAGTCAAGAATCGAACCCTTCTCGTCTGCTGCATCCCTAAAAAAACTTGTAACTTAAATGCAAGTTTGGAAACATTAAGAAGACGAGTCAGAGATAATAACCTCATTTCAAAAAGTCCAAGAAAAGTGCCGTCACTCACAAAAAAACATGCCGCGAAACGTTTAAAGTTTGCAAGACGGCTCTTGAATTGGCCATTGGAGAAGTGGAGGAATATTTTGTGGTCGTATGAGTCTAAAATAGTTTTGTTTGGAGGCCGTGGCACTCGGCAGTTTATTAGACGACCACCCTTATGTGTTTTTTCTCCGAAATATACCTTAAAATCGGTAAGGCACGGTGGTTCATCAATTATGATTTGGCCAAGCTTTTCATACTATGGAGTTGGGCCAGTATATTAGATCAAAACTATCATGGACCGTTATTTATATGTCAAAATTTTAAACGAAGTGATGCTTCCATATGCTGCCGAGGACATGCCACTTGTTTGGACGTTCCAACAGGACAACGATCCCAAACATACGAGTAAACTCGCCAAAGAGTGGTTCGCGGCCAATCAAGTTAGTGTCATGGAGTGGCCTGCACAGTCACCCGATCTTAATCCAATTGAAAATTTATGGTGTGACGTGAAAAGAGCAGTCTCGGAAATAGGACCAAAGAATAACATTCAACTTTGGGAAGCTGTACAAAGGTCTTGGAGCTCTATTCCAGTGAAGAGATGTCAAAATTTAGTTGATTCCATGCATAAGCGCTGTGCGTCCGTTATTGCAAACAAAGGATATGCAACTAAATATTAAAATAATCCTTAAATATAGGTCTATTATATACATTTAATCATTTAATCTTTAAACGTTTTTTTTGGCCGTGGTGAATTTTTAAAAGTTTCACTACTATTATTTTGAACGAACAAATTTTGGTAAAATTCCACATTTTTATTTTTTTTTGAAAAATCTTATGAATTATCCTAAGTTGTTATGTATTTTTATTACCTACTATTAGCTGAGTTTCAATGAAAATTAAAAACATTTTGCAAAGAGGTTTCAAAAGTTATTTTTTTGCGGTTTTTAGATAACCTCTGCGGGCACTACTATTATTTTGACCGCAGCTGTATATATATATATATATATTTATATATGTTTTTAGAAATAAATATATAGACGGGGTCAGGCCTCCAAGACGAAGACGAGGCTAAGGTGTTTGTTTTATTTGGACATCTTTCGGCTGGCCGGTTGTTGGCTTTCGTCGTTAATTAAGGTTTATGGACAAATTATGCCCACAAATTGGCAATTAAAATTAGAACGCGCACATAAATTCAAGAGCACCGAAAAACCCGACCCCAAAACCGAAACCGAACCGAACCGAAAATAATAATAATAAAGAGCATCGTCTGCGACAAAACGTTGTCACTCGACTGGTTTTTATATATCCCCATTTTTTTTTTGTTTGTTACCCGTCCAATTTGTTGCACAACCGAACAGTCCCTCGACGTCCAACTGGTTTTCCCGAGCGTTTAGTGTTGAAACTTTGATAAACGCGGGTAATGTGGGCGTACTTGCATAAGATCGGACAACTATCGGCCTTTTGAAGCGGCTATCATGGTGTTTTTCATCCGACCTTATCTCGCCTTGTATCATATGTAAATATGGTAATAGTGATATTCTTAGAGATATTTTATAGACCCGCTTGCCGATAATAAATAATATTATACTTAATTTGTCGTTTGGAGTGTAATAATAATCATAAGAAGTAGCTGAGTAATTTCAAGAAATACTGGGTTATTATATTTATACAATAATTCCATTTCCTGCAACGATAAATTCTATTAACTTTAATTTACGAAATATTTTGCCGACAAAGTTCCCATTAATTTCTTTATCAACATGGAGGCTTCATTAATAGTTATTCATTTTGGCCCGATTCGAAGCCACTTTTCCCCCCACCCAAAACTGCCTTTATCTAAGCCAACTAAGGCCAGTATATCTAGTATCTGGAGCGTGTTATCCGGGCATCTATTAGCCCCCCCCCCCCCACTTATCCCATCGGGATACCAATTCCGAATCCCGATACCAATCCACCTGCCCGAAAGTGAAGAAGCCTTGTCAATTACAATGAAAATTTCACATTTTAGCCGTGCCCGCTTTGCCACAATCATTTACACTAAATCACTTAAGTGTACAAGTGTCCGCGGACCGCCCAAAAAAAAAAACAAAAAACAAAATGAAAAAATCGGGTAAAAAAAATACAGAAAAGTAGAGAACAAAAACCAGGGGAAAAAAAATGAAATGCGAAGGAAATCGCCGCCCATAGACACCCCACATACGAGTGTATAAAGGAGCCTGGGCCCTATGATCGTAAAAGTTTACGCATATTAAAAATAAACCCGAGCGGCTCGCATTTCAAATCAGCGACTACTTTTGCACCGGGGTCCGCATTAATTTAGCCAGCTCACTTGTGATTGGTCGAGAGCGCCAGGTGGTCAGCGGTCTAATGCGTCCGAAAAGCCCGCTTAATCTCCGCTCCCCAGACGATGCATCCAGTTTTCGTACCCCCCATCCCAGATCGCATCCCCTGCGATCCACAAACTCCCCTGCGCTGCGTGATGAGCATCCTGGAACCTGTGGAGCCAGTGCTGGTGGCTCCAAAAGAGCCAGAAACTGATTTTGGCCAAGAAAATTGAACACTTTCTGATACCTGCTTGATTGTAATGTAATATAATATAACAAAAAACAATTTACATTACAGGAACTTAGCTAAAAGTTTTATTTAGAAGAGAGTTTAGTCTTATCTTAATCTGTTTATTTTATTAAATGCTGCTCTTTAAGGTTATTAGCTTATTTTATTTGATTTACTTTTGTATTATTTTTTAAACACATATTAAAACTTTATTATGATATCTGCAATATATTTTGTTGGGC